ATTAAATAAACAAGATGAATTTATTAGCAAATAGTTCCAGAAACAAAGCGAAACCATATGAAAATTCTTCATATCTCTATCGATAGAAAAAGAAAATGCATCACTATTTAATCTATCTATCTACTACAATAACAAACCAATGTAATATATACATAGAAAAAGATTAAATAACAATAAACTTTGAAAACAAAAAAAAAAAATACATGCATACTTTTAAATAAATCGAAATCCACTTGAAAAAATATGAGCACCGTCTTTTATTTTAGACAAAATAAAAGAAAAACAAAACGTGTATAAAGTTTAGCACCGTTCAGATATTGTTTACCATTGAGTTTTAATGAATTTGATGTATCACTGTTCTGTGCTACTGCAGCAGCAATTGCTTCGGGTGCTGAAACAGTCTATAAAGAAATTATTTGTATCATAGAAAAAGAAAAAGATTTTTCAATTACTATAATTTAGTTTTGTTGAAAAAAATTGTTGTGAAAATGATGCACCATCAACACGAAAGTCTTCAATATTTTTATAGTTTTTTAAAATTTCTTCAAGTTTTGGATTGATTTTTGGTTTTTGTTAAGAATATTTTTAAAATGTCCAGAATTTTTCTAAACCATATAATTGACCTAAATAGAAAAATTATTTTTGTTATTGACACTTTTCTTTTTTTTTTTTGTGTGTAATCTATTTTATTACCAGCTTCATGATTACAAAGAGTTTCATGTTGGAAATCTTCAAATACATGTTGACGAAAATGTTTTTCTGGATCATATGTATAAAATCGAAATAGACATTCAACACCATATCTATACATAAATAATAATATTCAATTTTTTTCATATTATTTTTCATAAAAACAATTCATTTATATGCCGATGATCAGTTTTAGTATCTTCAACAGCATATTGTTTAAATTCATTGTACATATGATGATTAAAATTTTCACATAAGAAAAATGACTAAAAACTATAGAGTGTATTCATTTTCATTGATTGACCAGGACCAAGTTTAACACGTTATAGAAATTAAATCATTACAGAAAACAAAATGTATTTTATTTGTAAATCAACATAACTTTAGATTATAAATATTTTCTATAAAATAATAAAGTTTGCCGATTAGTGAAACTTAGTGTTTTTAATTATTGACGATTATTTTATTGCTTATCAAATTTATCATGTAGATAAGAATGATAGTATTTATTAAAAAAACTCCATAAAAGAGTCAAATCTTTGTTTTTTTTTTTGAAAATTATAGCAACAAACATATTCTCTATTAGCTAT